GACGGCGCCCCGTCGGTCCCGGGCTGGACGCCGAGGGGGCGCGCGGCAGCTTTGGGCACCCCGAATCTGGAGGGGTCAGAGGGCAGTTTGGCGTCCCTCTGTGCTGCGGGGCGGGGGGGCGGAGTGGTGGAATTCCAGCGACACCCCGTTTTACCAGGACTCCAGGCCAGCGCTGGATCGGCCTGGACGCTGGGTTCCGAGAGTCCCTTTCCCAAACCCGTGGGCGGCAGGGGTGGGTGGGGGCGTACGGGCGAGTGACCGAAGTCGGGAACACCAGCGACACTTTTTTTTTTTAAACAAAACTTTATTGGTAATAGTTTTCAAATATGTTTACAACTGCACACTGTTCAAGAGGAAGTCGCGTCCTTCTGTAGCACACAGGTTGCATCGCCCCCGCGCCCACCCGCGGCCCCACCCCAGGCCTGAGAGTTCCTCCTGGGATGGGGAGGAGTTGTGAGAGGGACAAGTATTGGGGACGAATGGGGTGGCTCCCCACTTCTTTATTGAGAGAGACAAATGGGGAAGGGAGGGAAAGGGGTGATTGACAGCTGACAGCTAGCTAGAGGGACTTTGAGGGGTGGGCGGAAGCTGCTGGGTGAATAAGACACTTGGGCCCCCCCCACATCCCCAGCAACTGTGGCCTTGAACCCTGGGCCGTGGGGGCGAGGTGGGGGTACACTGTCTCGTCTTTGTCCATTTTTTGGAGGACTACCTTCCAAACTGAGCTGAGAGGCCGCTGGGCATTAAAATCTAGCTGAGAATAAAACGTCAGGAGTTTGGGGGGGGGGTTGATGGGTTGCTGCTGGGAGGAGAGACCCTGGGCTTGGGGCTCCCCCTCTGTCTTTTTTTGGGGGGATGACTCCGCTTTGGCAGGGAGAGGGGCAGCTGCTTGGTCTGGCTCCCAAAGCCCAAGGGTGAAGACGGGACAGGGGGAGAAGAGGGTTGGGGCTTCCTAAAGGGAATTGAGACCCTAGCAGGATCCACCGAGGACAGCCCCCAAAAGGGGGTAGGGGGGAGATTAGCAGCTCAGGGTGGAGGTTCGAACTCCAGCTCCTTCCTTTAGGAAGTCATTCTGCTTCCCAGCCTTGTTAAAATGAATTTGGGAATGGTGGGACACAGAGGGGCGTGGGTGAAGGAAGGAGGCAGAGGAGGCACTGATGGAACTTAAAGAAGATTTTACATTTTTTTTTTTTTTGAAAGTTCTAGCAAGCAGGCCACTGAATATGTCACTAAAAATCTGTCCTTCCCCAGGCAGGACTGCTTTAAGAAGGCTGGCTTCTTGTCCATTTCCCCTTAGCCTGTGGTTTGGCGGGAGTGGGGGGTGGGGGCTGCAGCTCAATTAGGGCCCCTCTTTCCACACTCTGTCCCTGTATACACCAGCAAGACCTGGTCTGACTGGAGCTGAGAAACTCCTTTAAAACAGGCAGAAGTGGGCTGAGCTGGGGGGCTGTTGGGGAGGAGGAAGGGAAAAATGGTAGGGGAGGGGGCAAGAGGGCCAAGGGGGGTGAGAGGGAGCAGCTGGTGTTTCTGTCCCTCCAAATATCTGGGCTTCCTGCTCCCCCTACCCTGGAGGGTAGGGGTGGGGGTGAGATTAGATGCAAGGAACTCTGGAGCCCTCTGGCTGTTCAATCCAACCCTCCCACCCCACCCCCTCAAAAAAAAAAAAAAAAAGGAAGAAAAAAAAAAAAGAAAAGAAAACCCGTGCGGGCACAGGCACACCCCTAAAACTCAGAAAACTCCTTGCCACACTTCTCATTGATGGAGACCCGGATCTCTTCCTCCTCATAGTCATCAAAGTTACTTGTGTCCCCAGGGCCTTTAAACTTTGGTATGAAGGGAGCTTCCACCTGGAGAGGAATCAAGAACCACCCAGACCTCAGCAGACATCATCATCATCATCATCATCATCATCATCATCATCATCATCATCATAACAATAAACGTAAATGGCCTAACATTTGTGAGATAGTTACTGTGGCTCAGGCCTATGCTTAGCAGTAAGATATGGATGCCTCAACAACTGAGGTGGGACTCATTACAGCCAACTCCCCTAAAGGGAGATTACATCTCACAGAGAGGCATCTCCTGCCCAAGACCACAGAGTGGCCAAAAGACCCCAGCATCCCATTTCTAGGCCTTCATTTGCTCTTAAATACCTACTTCAGTTTATCCCCAAGCCTATGGCCTATTTTCAAGTTCCTCTTCCTTGCCCATCTTTCCATGGGCAGCCCTCCCTGACCCTTGGACACCACCTCCCCAAAACCCCTGGGCATGCCTGAAGAGGGGAGGCCCACCTTCCGCTGGTAGATGGCAATCCAGTCGGTCGTGGCAAACCACTTGTGGTTCTTGATGTCATTGACCCCGTTCTTGAGGTTCCCAAAGCGCTTGGTGAGATCCACTTGTAGAAGGTTCCGTAGCAGGTCCTTCAGGTCGGAGCTGAAGTGGGATGGGAACCGCACCTGGAGAAGGGGGTGTACACATGGGATGGGGAGCTGGTCTGGAGAGTGGGAGCCCAGAACACTGCATTCTCCATGCTACAGTCCTATGGAGTGATCATCCCCCCCAACAGTGCCCCTAACTAGAAGCTCATTAAGACAGCCAGGGAGGACCAGCAGATGGCTTAATGGTTAGGTCCCTGGGCGCCCTCTGCAGTTCGAGTTCTGGACTTGGCAGCTTCAAACTCATTCCGGGCAAGTGTGTGTGTGTGCCTAAAATCCTGAAAGAAGACTGGATGAGAAAGGACTGTGGAGTGCCCACCACCCTAGGGAGTGTTTCTCACTTTCTGTCTCTGTCTCTTGGCAAGTGCATGCACCCTATAACAAAAACCTCTCTCTTTAAAAAAAAAAAATGATGGGACCAGCAGTTAGCGTAATGGCTATGTCACTGAACTCCCATATAGTCAACCACGGTTCGAATCCTGGACCCGGTGGCTTAAACTCACACTGGGTGCGTGTGTGTGCATGCCGAAGATCCCGAGAGGAGAATGGAGGAGGAGGGATTGCGGCGTGGCCATCCCCCCGGGGGGTGATTTCTCACTTTTTGTCTCTCTCTCTCTCTCTTTGTCTTTCTGGTGCGCGCACACGCCCTATAGCAAAAACCTCTCAAGAAAAAAAAAAAAAGGAAGAGTCTGGTGTATTGACACACACACTTGGGAAGCTGAGGCAGGAGGAGTGTGACATAGTGAGAACCCGTCTAAATCAGTGACAGTGAGGGCTGGCAGGTGGTGTAGTAGTTAAGGGCTCTGAACTCCCATATGGCCGACTGCGGTTCGAGTCCTGGGTCCGGTAGCTTACTTTCTCTCTCCCTCTGTCTCTCTGGTCAAATTAAAATAAATAAATAAGTAAATAAGTAAATAGGTGGCACAGTGAAACACAACTGGACGGACCCATGTGGGGAAGGTTCTGGGTTTGTGTCCCGGGACCTCCCTGAGCACATGGAGTGTTGACCTATGGCAGCTGGGACTGGGGGCCAACTGCAGGATCCAGACCCTTGGGATCCCTGTCCTCTCTTTCTTATGGAAGAAATCAACAAACTTAATCAAAAGAAACAGACCCACGAAAACCCAGCTCATGGGGCCCACCCCAGGGTTCTGATTCAGGAGAGCTGCTTGGGTCTGAAAACCTACATTTCTTTTAGGTTTTTTTTGGTGTTTTTTTGTTTTGTTTTGTTTTGTTGTTTGTTTGTTTTTGTTATTAGGTGCATGTGCTTGTTAGAGAGAGACAGAGAAAGAAAAGTGAGAAAGCGCGCCCTCCTGGCCCCAGGGGGATGGCCACACCACAGTCCCTTCTCCGCCCTTTTCCTCTTGAGATTTTGGGTACACACGCACATACTCAGTGTTTTTCGAGCTGGAAGGATTGGGGACTCGAACTGCATTGTTGGCCATGTGGGATCCAGTGCGTTAACCACCAAGTCACCTGCTGGGCTACAACTTGCATTTCTTTTTCTTTTACTTTTTTTTTTTTTTTGAGAGAGATTTTTGCTATAGGGTGTTTGCACTTGTTAGAGAGACAGAGAGACAGAAAGCGAGAAATCACCCCCCAGGGGGGATGGCCATGCCGCAATCCCTTCTCCTCCATTCTCCTCTCGGGATCTTGGGCACGCACGCACACGTGCCCGGTGTGAGTTTAAGCCACCGGGTCCGGGACTCGAACCACAGTTGACTACATGGGAATCTAGCAACATAGCCATTATGCCATCTGCTGGTCCCAGGGGCTTGGGGGCTTTCGAAATACCCGTAGCTATGAAGAGAGGAACTCCTCCTCCTCTTAGCAGATGGAAGACGCTTCTACTCTTTAAGGCCCAGTTCAACTCTTGATGGAAAGTTTCCCCAAATGCTCCAAACCCACGGCCTTGAATGCAAGCAGTGATGGGATTTGCAGTCACGAGAACCAATTTCTAGTCCCTGCTCTGTCTCCTGCATGCTGTGTGACCTTGGCCACAGCCCTCACCCTCTCTGGGCCTGCGCATACCTCTCTGGCATGGGGCAGATCGTCCAGGATTGTGCGAGGGAGATAAAACAGCCGAGGATGCGTGGGAACTGTGAACTGCTACAAAGAAGGGGCTTATGTTCCTCTTTGCTGCTCTCCATTTGGAATCTCCTATGCCTTGCTCTTTCTTTCTTTCTTTTTTTGGGGAGGAGAGAGATTTTTGCTATTGGGCCCATGTACTCACCAGAGAGCGAGAGAGAGACAGAAAATGTCTCTCCAGGAGGTGGCCTGGCTGCAGTCCCTTCTCCTCCATTCCCTTCTTGGGATTTTGGGCACACACGTGCATGGGCCCAGGATGAGTTTTAAGCCACTGGGTCCTGGGACTTGAACTATGGTCCGCCATGTGGGAGTCTAGCGCCTCAACCACTATGCCACCTGCACCCACTGTGCACCCTGCCGGCTCCCACTCTTTTCTTTTTCATTCTTTTTTTTTTCTCTTTTTCTTTCTCTTTCCTTTTCTCTTTCTCTTTTTCTTCCTTCTTTCTGCGTCTCTTTATCTTTGTTCTTCTCTTTCTTTCTGTCTCTCTGTCTCTCCCTCTCTCTGTCTCTCCCTCTTTCTCTCCCCATACTTGGCACTTTCTATTCGGCTGGAAGGCAGGCGCCTCGTCTTCCCCCTTCAGAAATGCTGACTCTGTGGGCGCCCCAGAGGACCCCATTTTGCAGGTTACATGTTCTTCCAACCTCAACAGGCTGGGGGCTGGATCCCCGATCCTCAGGTGGGTACGATGAGGCGCAGACGCAAGACCTGACCTGCGCGAAGTCCCTGAGCCCGCAGGTAGCAGCCACGGGAGCTAGAGCCAGGGCGGCCCACCGGAGGCTGAGCTCCACGGTGCTCGCACCAACAGCGCCTTGTGAACCAGCCAGCACCCGGGGCCCTGTGGATGGGCGCTCAGGTCCTTTCGGAGTGGTGGGTGGGATCCCCAAGCTCGCCTGGGGCCTTGGTTTCCTGGCTCTCCCAGGGCGGGGCCGCTCTGAGTGTAACCAGGGGGCGAGCCCCGCTCGGCCGATGACAAGGTCGTAATGTACCATGTTGATGCGAGCTCCACCGTTCTGTCACCCCTAACCCGAACACGCCAGGTGGGTGACGTGTGCGGCTGGGAGGAGGCGGCTGTGTCACAGGTCCTGGGCGGCAGGACTCCCTGGCGAGGCCGGGGTGGCACCTGGACCCGGGTACGTTTGCTCTCTTGCCTTGAAACCCATGAGAACGCGCACTAAAGGGGACGGTGAGGGCTGGGCCGTGGCGTGCTGGTTAAGAGACTGGAGCCCACATGGCCGACTCTGCAGTTCGAGTCCTGGGCCTGACGGATTGAAGAACACGCCGGGTGCACGTGCCTGCCCAAAATCCCGAGAGGAAAATGGAGGAGAAGGGATTACAGCTTGGCTAACCCCCCTGGGGGGGATGACTTCTCCTTTCCGCTCTGTCTCTGACTCTTCCTGGTGAGCCTATGTGCGGTATAGGAAAAATTTTTTTAAAAAGTTAAAAAGGGTGTAAGAGGGGTTAACAAGGGACCAGCAGTTAGTGTAATGGCTATGTCGCTGGACTCCCAGGTAGTTGACCATAGTTTGAGTCCCGGACCCGGTGGCTTAAACTCATGCCGGGCGCGTGTGCGTGTGTGCCCAAGATCCCGAGAGGAGAATGGAGGAGAAGGGATTGCGGTGTGGCCATCCCCCCTGGGGGGTGATTTCTCGCTTTCTGTCTCTCTGTCTCTGTCTCTCTGGTGAGTGCACGTGCCCTAAAGCAAAAACCTCTCAAAAAAAAAAAAAAAATGGGGGCAGCTTGAGGTGGGAGGAGAAGCCCCCTGTCAGGACAGCACGTGGTCTGAGGCCAAGCCCCACTGAGCCTCGGGGTTCTGGGCGCCCTCAGGATGTCAGCACCCTGGGTCGAGGGCCAGGGGGGCGAGGGTACTCAAGTGCAGGACTCCCTGTGGGTGCTGCATCCGCCCTCACCACCTAGCCTGACTGCCCATGCTTCTAGATTATTCCAGCAACAGCCAGGGGTCCCTGCCAGGGCCCACCCCCACATCCTGCCGGGGCCTCACCTTCCCAGAGACGATCTTCTCGTAGATCTGGATGGGCTGGTCGGCGAAGAAGGGGGGGTAGCCGGCCGCCATCTCATA